AGTCTTCATCTCCGTGGGTATCTGTGTGTAATAATATAGGCAGTAGAACGCAGCAGGAACGGTGTGGTTCAGGACCACAAGACGGGTCTACAAAAAGGCTCTTGTCGACGTTAACGATACTATGAGGGCATGTGAATGGCTGATCTTACTAATGGTAACGCGCGAGAACTACACATGGTCATGCGATGTTTCCTAAATCTTGAGCGGGTTGGAAGTAGTAAATGTAGAGTGGAAAGTCGATTTTCTCACATAACTGGTGACCAGGTTCGGGGTTGCCTAGGATTCACTTCAATGAATGCAATTGATTTAAATTTTTATTTGCTTGTCGCACAACTTTGAAGCCCAATCAATTCACAGCTAACGTTTTCCTACGACCTGGGTTCTCGGACATGCTATCTTCGACGATTGTCTTGAGGTATGAGAAAAGGGTTAGCGAATTCGATTCATCATCTCCTCTGAAATCGTTCTCCAGTTAGGTCTCTTGAAACACTTGCTTGTCGTGAGTTATATTCCAAAACACATAATGCCTTTTCTGTTGCAGCGAAGGGGAACAGTGTGGGCAATTGCATCATCACATTTCCATAGAATACCATGGATATGTTTAAAAGTTGTGTAATTTGAAAGAAAGTTATAACTCTCTAGAAATGTTTATTCCTGATCAACTTATCTTGGATAGATCCCTCCTAATGTTCACCTGAATCATGTGAAGGAGGAAGCTTGGCACCTACACCTACACACCCTTTTTATACAATTCCGACCAAATTCACAGAACATGTTCTTCTGCACTTGTCATACTTTGTTAGGCAGTTACACAAGCATCTGCATATATTTGCATTCTGTCTGTGACACGTTCTCAGCAACGCTTCACGGATGATGGACTACACCTCACGGTAAGGTGCAACCAGCACAGGAAATCAGGCCAGCATCTCAGCAGGTGGTGCTTTTGCTCTGCCGTCAGGCTTTCGAAATCTGGATGGGTGGTTTCAATTTATTAAGTTAACTGTCGAAGGCATTCAAGCACTTTGGTCTCCTCTTGCCAAAACCTATTGAATGGTGAAAGTTAAATAAGATTTCCGCACATGACTGTCACTTCAGGCGGATTAGTACCTATATCTAAGAGGAAACTACGTTTCACCTTGGTTTAGGCACATAAGGTTGGCTGCGAAGGAGGGATTCGTTGAACCGCTGAGCGCCATTCTCCTTGTGGAACCACTTACCGTGTTTCGTGTGCGCATACTAACGTGCCCAAACTTTCAGTATTTTCTTGGGATAACGCCTCCACACCTCACACAAAGACCCTTCTCTTTGTTTCACTTTAACCACGAGCAGACGTTCATCCAAGTGTCTTGGCTACCGCACCTTGACAACCGCAAGAAGGATGAAGAGTACTTGGTGCAATCCGTGCATTTGAATGGCTGGGCCTAGTGAATAGCTGAAATGCCCCACGAAGCCAACCTTTGTTTTCTCAAATTCGGAGAGATGTAAGAAGGGCGAATGAGTCACCACCGTGCTTGCCAGGTGGTGCGTGGGTGGGCGTTTTTGCGTCCAGTGGCGAAATCGGCAACGGTAGTCCCTTCTGCATCCCATGTTTTCGATTGTTGTTTATGGCACACAAAACTCAACAACTTATTTTCAGAATTTAGCCACTAACGTCTTTATAGCTCTCTCCAATTAATTAGCCTCTTTTACTAATAATGTGAGTCTCCAGATGGCATAAAAAATCGGCCAGTAAGGTATTATATTCGGTGAAGGTCACAGCTATTCGGATAATGCCGTAATGTTCATAGAATGTTAGAGAGTGTATGCAACTCCAGTGTTCATTTCCACAACATTCATGCTGTTTGCTTTGCCCACACACTACTATTTTTGCGAATTTCTTATTAACGGGCATTCGTTATTAATGAGCAATGTACGATTACAATCGGGCAAATTTCTCAACCACGACAGGGGCTTTATTCACCAATGAATAGCGCTTTCTTCACTATAGCCAATAGGAGCTTCACGAGGACATCTGTCTCAACTCTACTCTAAGTAACCTTGAAATTCAACCCACCCTAGCCAATGCGCACAAGCCACATGGGCGGAGAATTTGCAAATGGGTCGGTTAATGTTAGTCGCAGGCGGGTAGAATGCCTTAGATGTGGGCATTTCTTGCTTGCCTTTGCATTTCCGCTGCATTGGCAGAACACCCAGATGGAAGTATAATTGCTAGTGACAGTGATAGATACATCCTGCAACCGGAAAATAAATACGCCTTGAGAAACTGTTTCATATGCTGTACAAAGTCGATCGCTTTAACAAACTGCTCAGCTCTGTGTCGAAGACGCGGAGGTGTTTCGCCGGTAACAAGCTGCATTTTAATAAGTGCGTGAGTCTTACTATTCTTGTGGTAACTTCAAAATTGTCCACCTTCGGCACGTTTAGCTCTAAATTAGACGTTCAGATTTATTTAAGAGGACAGTTGATGGAAATACTCCGTTGAAGTCACTAATTTGTCCTCAATTTAAAAGCCAAGCTAGATAAAATGTTTGAAAGAGTTCATTTCCACGTGCCGAGTTTTACAAATGATCAAGTGACTATAAGGAAGTAGTACATATTAGCGCGAACAACACAAATTGCGGCCCAATTGTAGTGAGCGGCTTTTACAACTGTGCAAATCCATTGAGCTTCTGGCGTTTGAAGTTGCTCGAAACCATTTAATTATTTTCAGTCAAATCGCGGTGGCAAACTTTCATTCTGCTTTGTCTCAAAACATATCAGCGTTTGGATTGTTTTACACCAAATGAAGCCTGAGCATATGGATGGAATTTGAGTAGTGGCAGTCTTGCCACCTCATTGTCACTGTTACTGTCACTGCGCTAGGCAGCAAAGTTATTTCACGGTTGTGGTGGTAATAAAGCAGTTTATAGGACAAACAATAACCTCAACGATTCTCAATCCTTGAATCGTTCGCCATGAACTTAGGTGCATGAGTTTAGGCGGAGGAAAACCAAGAGAAATTTACGAAAGATCAGAGCATTTTTGGGTCGCGTCAACGCCATGGACATATTGCCCGTGTCGAAGCATGTGCTAGGTCAAAAAGCACTATCCTTAAAACATCCTATTAATTTGGATGTCCTTTGGAGCTTCAGAGACTCCTTAGTATTTAATGTCTCCAAAGTTTTCCACGTGTTGACATTTTCCATAGATGAATTATGGAAAAACAGTTCGTCAGAGACGGCCATCAAGGCGCTAATTGGACACCAGTGGATTTCAGCGACGGTATTCTCTTGTGATTTCGACACGTCACATGATTTCCAAGCGCTCCTGTGCTAGCCCAACACATTGTGTGGATCTTGGTCAGTGTTGTCCATCAACTCCTCTTTCGATTTCGTCAATGCAATTAGTAAAATTGAGTGACTGTGAGAGCGGGATGATGTCGCTTCTACGTTGCTCTCGTCAGTTCTTGAGGTGTGCAGGTTGCTAGTTGAGAGTGTATCACCAGCCGAGTTGGGTATCATGCGACAGTCAAGAATGGCAGAGTAAAAGTGGCACAATTACGCATATGCCGGATTGGCCAAATAGGCTCCACGTGAAATCAAGTTCTGTTCGCATACCGCAGACGACAATGGTTCAAGCACTATCAACGCAAACCCGTTTCAATATCGAGCTTCTTTCTTAGTTGCAAGTTCAGCTATTCTAGCAACGAAAGAAACTGCTGATTACTCTTGCCTTGTCCAATACCTCCACGTTTCCTTACCCGACTATGCGTATCCCTTCAACTCGGTGGCCTCGGCGATTTTGCGACCACATGCTATGACCAACCACAAGAGAAACAAATTTTAACCGCTGTCATTCTGATATTGAAGCTTGATTACTAGAAAGTGTTAGCACTGGCCACCCTCAAACGAATGCTTGTAGCAGGCCAAAATACAAGCTAATCCGCGAGCTGCTTTTTATCTCATCGAGGTTACCTGACAATCCAATTTTACAGTCGATCTGATTGATCAACTGTGGCCAGTTCGGTGTCTATGTGAGGCCAGTTTATTCGTGGTTCATCATCGTCGCCAGCATCCTTTGCGTGTTTTGTCATTCCTCCTCTTCAACTTGATCGTCTTCGTCAGTGTTAGCATATGCTGCTTCTTCATCATCTACGTCAGAAGAATTACCATAGTCGTCATTCGCATCGTGCAGTGATTGACCCACGGTGTGTTTCATCACGTCAACACCTTCATATTCATCGTCTTGAGCATCCCCATTTTTCCTCGTGCTTCTTTGCACCATCAATGTCACCTGTGCCGCCATCGCCACTATCGTCACACACAACCTGCTAATGCGCGTTGTGCCAGAGCTCAAGTTGACGCAAGGCATCACCCATCATGGAAACCAATTTTGCCGAAAATAACGTCAAACGCTAATTCGCAACTGGGCTTCACCTTGCCATCCTCGTAACGCCAATGAACCACCAAGGGGAAAAATTAAATAAAGCACTAATTTATTTCAAATGTAGCAAACAGTTATTAAAGAATGGGGAATAACGTTGGATTAGCTGCTTTCAACTCAAATTAGTGCCACCCCCAAAATATTTTCTTATTCAATCCGTCGAATTCTCTTCCTTCCATATGTCCTTCTTGTCTCTCCATCTTGTCCATTATGGCGTCACCATCTTCTTCCTTATCGTTCATCATGCTCTTCTTCCACGGAATTTTTTTCATCACGTCCATCTGGTCGTCGTCATCTTCATCCTCCTCCTCCTCCTCATCATCATCATCAACGTCATGCATCATGCTCGGTTTCTCTTGTAGACTCTTCGCCAGCATGTGTCTGCGCATCATGCTGGCCGTAGTTGAGTTTACAGCTAACAGGCACACGAGGGCGAGAAGTAGACGCAGAAGGAACGACTTCATCCTGAAATGGTGATCTGTGAGGCTGCTGCAGTCCGCTTTTATAGCACAACAGCATTAGCGCTCATTGGTTGACTTCGTGTCACGCTGTACCACCAAGGTCGATGTCAAAGAGGGGGCCGTGTGATTTCCAAGCTGCTTGCACTCTCAAGTATCATCGAGGTGAGTTCGTAGGGAAGCGTCGCACGCCAAACACGCTGACCGCAAAGCGCACAGCTCATTCACACTGGCCTCATTCGGCAAGAGTTTAGAGTCACTTGATTTCTGCCGATGGTGTGCTTCCACCCGCTACTGCGGATTGATTGTGTTAGAGGTTCGAACATCCTCCAGTTGACAATCATGATGTGCATGATGTTTCGACGATGCCTGATTTGCTGTCAACAAATGTAATCATGTTACATTACATGTAATCATGCCTGACACAGTGTTTGTGTATGTCCGTGGCGTAGTACTTACCTTCAAATGGCCTCAGTACTCGTTCACCTGATGAAGCCAACTGCGCAGCTACCTCTGACACGGCGGATTTGCTACACGTGACTAAATGTCACAGGTAGCTGTGACTTGCTCGATTTCAGCCATGATGTTTACCCACCGTGATTCTAAGTAAGCACATCTGATCGTAGTGATCAATAATCCAGTTGCAGAAGTGTGTCTGAGACATGCGAATCGATTGTGACGATCCGGACGTGAAGATACTATCGAAATGTCAACACAGAACTGCAACGATAAATGTTGATGTTGAGTTTTACTCATTAACTGCGGCATATATGCGAACTAGGCGTTCTAAAGTAGGCGTTGAAATATCTGAGGTCACTATTGGAGTAAAACATTAAAATTCAATTTAAAATGATTCCATGCTGTTAAGGTAAGTACTACCGCCTTGACGCTGCTATGCACTAAGAGGAAAATATACGAGGCAGAGAGTTTGTCTGTGTCCCCAGGAAGGTCTCTATCTTGCCATGTGTCGCGCCCAGGAAAGGCATCTACTGCCCAACATCACGTGGCAGCAGGTGCACCGTAGTTGTAAGGATGTGGGTTTCGTTTGCGGTTTGGTTCGCGTTTTCTGCGTTAACCAGTCGTGTACAGACGTACAATCCCTCACATCTCGGTGACACCTAGAAGCTGTCAGACCATCCTGATTAAATCACAAATGACCAACTACACATGAACTGTTTGTACGATTGAAGTGTGAGGTCCTAATTCTGGCTGCAAATGGACCCCAATTCAACTGACTTTGTCAACTCGTAACGGCGCACAGATGTCCTAGTGGGCAACAACCACACGATTTACTTGCAACATCGCAAGCATTTACCTGTATTTTTGACACTCCTTTTCGCATAGATGATACATGCTCTTAACAAACTGGACACTTCAAAGTCGAAGACTTGAAAAGAGCTAAGTTCCAGGTGCTGAATATGCAGGGCATATGTAAGTGTTTGAACGTAGATAAAAGCATTGTCGTAGCCTCACGACCTGAAGGATTTCCATTCGAAGATTTAATCCTGACACAAGGATCCAGACTATATCGCCAAAGTTATGAAACACAGGTAAACGTAAAGCCAATTAGGGTATTTTTCTACCTAAATCGACCACCTCTTGTAAACTTGCTTTTTTTGACGACAAAATTTAGATGAGCTTGTAGATACCTGGTCTGCTTGCACAATGCCAATCCTCCTCGTAACTAGGCGGCTCTCTGGATGATTGCAAATGCATTTTGCACTGAAACTTTCCCGGAAAATACTTTGTAAGCGCCATTTAATCAGGCATTTTGCCATGTGAGTTGCAACGTGACTAGAGCTGTCATCAGTTTACTAGTCAGTTGCATTGCAGTTGCAGTTGTTTGGGTAGTCGCAGCGACAACCAATCAAGGTGGAAGCCAGAACATTGCCAACTGGCACTTTGCTGGGTTGCTTGGCGTTGAGCCTTGATTAGTCTCATCGACAAGACGTAGCGATGTTACCCCAACACTTCCACACCGAATTGAAAAGGCGAATTTCATGTCGAAGTGGGTGTCTGTTATGCAAAGTTTCATATCGGAGGTACAGTGGACTGTTCGATTCATGGTGTTCCTGTCAAATAGGAGAACCTACAGGATTTTTGAGCAGGTCGTCATGCGAGGTCCTTCAGTTGTTGGAGCCTGATTGCTTCCCGCAGAAACGTCGAAGAAGGTAAGCAGCGTTGAAGCAAACTCAATCATCCACCTGGCTTACACAACTGGTATTGATTGCCCTCAAACTGTAGGGCAACTTGGTTACCTAGGAATAACCATAATGGGCACGGTAGATGGAGATATGAAGAGCGCAAATCTGTACATTTTGACTTCAATTGATCACGTATTTACAATGGGCTCTGTTCCATCTCAAATCCTAATACAAAATCCACAATTTTGTGAACTGCTGATATGTTCGCCTTCCTTGATCCAGCTTCTCCTCAACGCAAGACTACTCAGATGCAGTTGTTGCTAATTAGGCTAAAAATACAAATGGAGCACAAGAGGCGCCCTTCAACTCATGCCATGCATTTGGCATTCCAAAGGGCTTTAGGGTTTACTCAAGAGAAACGCATGTTCTCTTTATTACAAGCACTTGACAGGTAGTGCTAAAAGCTATTGAACACACACCGAGTGGACCAGGTCTCTCTACCCAGGCATCCATTCGACTAACAGTGACGAATAACGTGCTTGATCTTCACGTAAGCATCGAATTGTGTTTTTGGATGACTATGCATGGCCTGGCTGTGGGCACTAGAGTGCACTGCGTTCAGCAAAAGCTTGGTCCAGCTACTCAGGCTTTAGCGTTGAGTTTAAATTATGTGAAAGTGGCACATCACGGGCACAGGTCGGTCACAGTGTCTGTTAGTCTCAATAACTGATAATTGAACCGCTTCTGATTGCGTGCTATGAGAGCACCACGATAATTAGCATATTTTGATATGCTGCTTTCAATCTATCAGGCTAGTGTTAAAGCTGGCAGATCGCCAGTCGTCTCAGGCCGCTCCTGCCATTACGCCGTCAATTTATGGCCTCAGTAACAGTATCTCGGAGTTTTCCTATGATCCGGAGAACGGCGTAACGTTTGAGTGCTGGTATCGTCGTTACGAAGACCTGTTCCGAGTCGATCTCGCGTCCCAGGATGACGCATGGAAAGTCGGACTCCTTACCCGCAAACTGGGCCCATCCGAGTTGGAGAAATACACAGACGTTATCCTTCCTAAATCCTCACTCGACTTTACTTTTGGAGAAACCGTTCAAAATCTCAAGAGTAGGTTTGGAGAACGCGCCTCCTTATTCAGTACCCGGTACCAATGCCTCAAACTCGCAATAGGGGTGTTTGACGATTTCCTTGATCATCTGGCAGTGGTCAATCGAGAGTGCGAGAAAAGTCAGTTCAAATCAATGACTGATGACCAGCTCACAGCTCTCATTCTCATATGCAGCCTTCAAATCCCTAAATACACGGATCTGCAAACGCGGCTGCTACACCTGATTGATCAAA